AATAGCAGCTAAATAGTAGGTGAGGTGAAAACCGACTTCTCAAAAAAATTACCACAGTGTTATCCTTTTAACCTTTATCTCGTACCCTTTACTAGTTATGACCGCGAGCAATCCCATTTTGAAGCGTCACAGATGACTAGATTAGATGACATGGGCAGCATGTCATAGTTCTCAGGTTTCCAGTAAGGTTTGAAGGTACCACTGCTACGGAATACATGCTACGTTCACGCACGTTGCAGGCTGTGTTCCTCCCACAACAAAATGGATATATCAAACCCTGTTCAACCACACCTCCAATTCTTGCCATACTAGATGGATCAGCTTTTCGAAAATTTCTATGACAAAACGCAACCGTTTCGACCCAATAAGCTGTATATATCATAAATTCAGAACAAAAAAAAAACAAAGAAACCCTCGGAGGGGGTAATACAATGCAAGAGCTCTGTTAGGAAAAAAGCGGGGAGTCAACGAAACTCGATTCAGTTTCATGAGAGGCAAACCTTAGGCCGATGTCAGACTTTGCGAATCGCGCGATTCGCTACTAGCGATTCGCGCGATTCGCTAGCGTCCGCGGTCGCGTTGCGGTACCAGCCAATTGAGTGATTCACCGCAGACCGCTAGCGAATCGCGCGATTCGCAAAGTCTGACATCGGCCTTAGGCTGTTGTCAGAGTCAGCAATCCGTCGAGCAATTCGCTCGAATCGCGCTACGGATCGCGGACTCTGACACCAGCCTTACAAAATGGCATCAAAAAAGGTGAAAGTGGCTCAAGAAAAGCGTGAAAGAAAAGACACTGTGGCAAAAAAAAATCAACGATAATACTGAAGAAACTCACAGCCTTGTTACCTCCAGCCTTTGTCATGGTTGCTTTTGAATAAGAAGCGCTCACTAGAAGCTAAAAAATGTTGACACGATGTATAGAACCAAGACCAGTAGTACTTGCAACCGTATGAACAGCCATGGAAGATATCAGGCGATTGAACCAACACAAAAAAAAGTCAGCGATATTAAAAAGATTCATTAGGTATTTACATGAGCAAGTGAAAAATATGGAAACTGAGAATGTCAACAACACATATTGATCTACTTCTTCTGCCTCATTATATCAACAGTGGTTTCATGGCATTGTCTGAAGTTCATGTCTGAGGCACCCAAAACGTATTTACCGGGGTTTTTGAAATAATCCAACCCTCGTCCTATCTTAACGAATCCACCCGTTATTGAACCTGAAACAAAAAACATGAAAATACTCGATTTCGAAGAAAATTCCGCAAATCATACCTTATCTCCCTGTCATGAATTGAAGGACTGAATTCCACTTTGAGAACGACGTTGACTTTCTCCAAGCTCTGGGTTAGCTCGTCGAAAGCAACCTGATTATTTCGCGCCTCCATTCCAGTGCGCAAAGTAATGCATCGAATATTTGGAGCGTTGCCAACAACGAGTTCACAAAATCGCACAAAATTCAGAATCTGGAAAAGAGTCAGGTTGAGGGAGATTTGAAAACATTCAAGCAAAAAGTGACCTGGTGGTGTGCGCAGACATATGCGTCTTGAACGCTAACGGCGGTCAGCTTGTCATCTAGACATCTGCCAAAGATCTTGTCATAGCCATGGCCCACACTGTTCGCTTCGATCGACGCTCTTCAAGGAACCAACTCTGGAAATCTCCCTGGAATCATGTCTGAAGAAAATGTGAAAATTGTGCCATCAAAAAAAAAAAGAATTTTCTTGCTAGAAATGATCAAAAAAAAACATAATTATTATGAAATAGCACCCGTAATAAACTGCCAATGCCCATAGCAACTCGCCTTAAGCCGAGTGCTGATTAGATATGGATATCGTTGCGTTGTCTGGAGAATTCAAAGATAGCAAAGCCGAATAATGTATCTAATCCATGTCAGTTTTAAACGACTATGATTGCTAAGTAATTAAGAAGTCAGTATTTTACCATCGCATTCTTATCCTTTTCAAAAAGAAAATTGATGTAATTACACTTATTATAAGCATTAGCTACAAACAGGGAACGTAATACACTAGCAAAACAATTATTCACTCCATTTATTGCATCTTCAGTTTTCTGCCCTTGAAACGTACTGCGCTATTTGCTTGTACATGGGAAGCTACTGTGTCGTCACGACATCAAACCTAAATAAAACTTTTACAGAAACATGTATTTGCTAGACCAACCACTTGTTAGCTCCGAAAAGTCAAGAATCCCATCTTCCCTCTTTTGCGTAACAGTGTAACCTCAGGATTCAAGTGCAAAATGTTGCGTGTTCAAATGTACAGTTTGGGACACAAGAACACTCAATGTGTCCTTTCTAATCTCTTCATTATTCTCGAACTTTCCATATGGCTCTCAAAAATGCCATATACCAGATGAAAAATCAAAAAATCAATAGGAATACGAAAAGAACAGGGTGGCGATAGCAATTTAAAATTCAGGAGCCCAGAATAAATAGCATGCTCAGCAGGGTAACGGTACCAGTGTGTTTACGAACCCGCATTCGCAACAGCGTGTGCCAGGTGTACACTTGCTCGAATGATGGTAGCAGAGCGTCTCTTACAGTGTAATAAGATATCCACCGAAAACGAAACGAAAAACCTAATTAAACCTCAACGGGAATATGTTAATATCGAAACTGAACAGCGTGCACTGTCATCCCCTCTTCTGAAATGAACCAAGCATTTTCCCTCCTATTCGCCTTTCCAAGTCGTCTTCTCTCTAGATGATAGAAACTTATTTATAGGATTGGATTCATTTGGTAAGAGGATCACTGCAGCGCACAGGCTGCTCCGAGGTCAGTTCGGCTCAAGGAGTCTATATAGCTTACTGGGTGCTATCAGCTTTATTCCTACGAATAACATATATAACAGAAGCTCGATCAACGCAAACGCCCACCACGCCTACTAGGTTATAGCCTTTGTGGCCCACAGTACTTCGAGAGGACGTGCATTCGAAAGCCCTAGTGCGCAACTTTACGATGGAGACTTCGGTAGCGGAAGCAAATTCTCGTATGCTCCATAGTTAAATACCCTGCTGCTAAGGCTTAGTACGAATGCTTCTACAGGTAGCCCCCCCCCCCCCACCAACGCACTGCGCCGCCCTAAGTTTAGTTCGCTAAGAAACTTTATAACAAAATATAACTGAAATGTTCTCGGACTTATAAAGGATAAGGGATCTTTAAAAATTCATAAGCCAAACAATCAGAAAATCACAACTCTTACTTGAACGCCTTAGTCCAAGAAGTCGATTCCATCCATGTAATGGCGCAGAGCATCATTAGTTTCTCCTTTTTGTCATAGTCTACTGCTTTGATCAGCGATTTCTTTGCCGATTCAATCAACTTGTCCTCTTTGCTCATGAGAAACACGTGAGCCTCCACGCCACTAGCTGCAACTGAAACCTAATGATTGCCTCTTGATGAAACTTTAAGTTCAAACAATAAACTTTACCAAAAAACAACAACACACGGAAACCGCAAACCTCCACCCGAGCAGACGTCCAAGATGTGGGCTGCGGACGACGCGCGTGATTTAACGACATCCGGGCATTTTTCACAAACCCTCAACCCTCGCAGAGCACCAGCAAAGGATCGAATATGTATAAGAAGATTGGGTGCAGAAATGTATTCGGTTGAAAGTAGTCGAAATCCTGATTTGGTTTGATACACACTCTACCGTGTGGTGATCAGAGTAGCTAAGTCGAAAACGTTTACGCGATTACCTTTCGCATCAATAAAAAACTAACTCCTTCTTAGTTTCCTCCATCCTATTTATAGAACTCGATTACTATAATTGGTGCCTTACTCTTTGAGATGCATCCCCATTTTTTAAGGGAGGTCGATTGCATTGCAAAATTGAGGTGATTACAGGCCGCCAAGTACTATAACATCTTCTAAAGCGTTACTTGCGTCTGTGAAAAATTACCGTGCTGCCCTTTTGCTTGATTTCCCTGAAAAAGAAAACAGATGGTATAAAAGTTAGCTGACAGTTAGCTGTTTCATACTTAGCGAAGAATCAAGCAGCATCCGCTTGGTAGCTTTTTGAAGGAAGAATCCACGATAGGGGCAGCTATGTCGACGACAACGAACATCGTAGCTGTACGCATTGGATGCCATCGTCGTTCGACTTTTGCCTGAGTATCGAAGGGGGGGGGGGGGGGGGGGGGATTTAGACAGGACCCTCCTGAGGGTGCTGACCGACGCGCAATTGGCAGCGAAAGATTTGACCTCGGCGATCTAGCATGGCTCACTCTTGGCGCGGTTGGCGGGGTACGCCCACCGACTATCTAATCACTCGCCGCAGGTCTATACGTGGCGAGTGAGCAGAGAGAGCGTAGTGTTGAAGAGGGCAGCGATGAGAGTCGCATCAATGCGCAAATCAACGGGCAAGGAAGGGGTCCATTTCTCGGGTTTCGGGCCGTTTCAAATGGTTTCTTCTTCATCCCTGCTCCACTGACCACCTCTACCCTTATTTCCAATGAGCTAACTTTTCATCGTAAATTCTGCCTTTAACAACCCGTCAGCTGGAAGTCTATTCGCAAGTATTTCTTATAGACAGAACTTATCAAAACAAGCAATCAAGTGACTCACAAATGACCAACTATGGGTAGTTCAGAAGAGTTCCATCACCGTTAGGAACTATCCTACATTGCCTAAATGGAACGACTTTGGGAGTCTGCATGGTTGAGAGTTGGATTATTTATTTATTTATTTGTTTATTTGTTGGTCAATCACAGAGTGTGACAAACAGAGTGATAAGATAGTATCTTAATTAGAGGCACAATCGATTGACTTACTAAAATATCCAGTAAATTAGACATTGGGGAAAGAACTCCGTAGAACCATCTAGGCAAGTTTGAGTTAAGGGGTGATGTGCTTAATTAGACGCCAGCCCCATACATGACGCCACAACAAGGCTGCTGATTCCAGAAGAATGGTCCAGAACCAGGGTATGGACATCCTTTCCTAGGCGCAAGGGTGTAGGAGCCCAGGTGGACGATCACATGCCATAAATTGCCTAGGATGTGAGCAGGATGTGCGTGATGTAGGGCATACACCGGTCCTTATCAAAAGTGCACTTGAAATGAGTCGTTTACCTATTATCTTATCCATAGTGGGCCGTATGCTATCCTCCCCGAAGGGGTTGGGGGACGAAAATCCTTTAAATTTTCTCTGTCTTCCCAACTGGGATTGCCCTGATAAAGGGCCTACATTTAATGTATGTATGTAGGTAAAGTAAACATGCACTGAAAATGAAGAAACTATATCGTTCAAAACAAATAAATTTAAAGGAAACTTTGGATCACCTAGCTTCGGGGAAGCATAGCATACGGCCCTGTTTGATAGCCCAGAGGATGCTCTCTAGACAAGATAACAGGGAGTGGCCCCCACGAAACACTGGAGTTTCACCAAAACGAGCATTGCACAGCCAGTTTTCGGTGCATCTTCATAAACGGGAAGTAAATGACTAGATTAGCCGGCTGCAGCCGATGCAAGCTCTGCGACCGCTCGCGTACGGACTTGTTTCTCCTCCGCGAACTTAGGAAAGAGAAGAATGTACGCGCAGTTGTTGCTATTCCAGCGCTTTCCGATTTCACTGCTCCATGAAAGGGTATCTTTGTAAAATAAGTGTGTATGTGGAAATAGAAATATGGGGTCTATCCCACTACGGAGGGGCATTTTGGAGAAGATCAGTCAAGGCTTTTCAAATCACAGAAAACACATTCTTTAATGCGTATCTTGAGAAGAATCATGTCCCACCTAGCTCTAATTTGCCAAGCTTGAACCACCCTGGAGCTCACTCTCATGTAAACGGGGATCATCGCAAATTGCCGAGCTTTTGCACCAAAGTCCCCTACCCCTCTTATTGGAGCACACTCGGAATGTTTTGATAACACATTCCATGAGCATAAAAGCATAAAGCTTTCAACTAGATAACACATTCCATAGAAAACAAAACACATTAAAGTATCTCGGGTCTCATCCAGTGAGGGGGGCGGGGGGCATGTGGTGCGACAGTTTATAACGCCTACAGTAATCCAATTTTTTCCAGAAGGAAGCGCCAGAGTGGGTGCAAAAGCGGAATCGAAAACGATCAATGAAGAGGGCGCGGGATGTTGACGGGCGACGGTTATTAACGCCTACGTATGGTCATTTATTTCACAGGGAAGGCGGCGCCAGGGTGAGTGTGAAAGCGGAATCAAAACGATGAAAGAACTCTAGGGATTCTATCTCATCCTTCTCTGACCCCGCAAGAATTGAAATTTCTGTAGGCAGCAGTAACTGTCGCTCCCTTTCCTGAATAAGACCCGGTATTTCTTCACCATTCCCTAAGGGGGGGGGGGGGGGGGGGCGGCGCTGCGTGCAACTCAGATAAGATTCTAAAGTGCTCGAGCTTCCAACTGATTATGTTGCCATCAAAACATATTTGGGGGAAAAATTATATTCACACAATCAATTACAGCACCAACTAAATATAACTGCCACATTCACACGTAAAGCTGTTAAGATGCTTAATGAAGTTGTTGTTCACATTCTAGGCTAAGGCACGTATAATATGAAAACAAACTTCATAAGGAAACGAAATCACAGAAATCAATTTTAGTTTATCGGAAAGTTTAGCTATGAGATTTGATGAATTCCATTAACGGTTTGTAGTGTGCTTTGATCCATGCCATTCGAACTCCAATCATTTCCAAACTCATGTGAAATTGGTTAAAAGAGGCAATCCACCAGTGATTTTTCATGAAATCTTTCGCCTACAAAATCAATGCAATAGTTAATTTTTTAAGGCTAACTTGTTGCGGGGGCGGGGGACACGCGCGGCGCGCGCTTTGCTCGCGCATTCTTTTGCGTCCTACGCGGAAATCGGTGAGCAGGGGATGTTAGGGGGATTGTTAGGCGTCTAAGAGGAGGGTGGATACGCGGCAGTCACTTGACATTGCATGAAAGCCTGGAATGTTTCGACTCACACTAGTCTCGTCATGAGAGCGCCAGGCGAGCAAAGCGCCTCGCGCGCCGCGCGTGCTCCCCCCCCCCAACTGATTTAGCACTTATTTACATATTATCATCACACAAAAATTCCATTTCTATAAACTGTTCCACACCAAAAAACTAACTCGTCATGGTTGCAGAATTAGTATGTGGCACCACATGGCACCAAGAGCACCAAAAACACACGAAAAATCGATTTTCTGTGCCTGTACACGCGGAATTACACACCTTGCACCCTATGCGCAAAACAGAATGCGCAGAAGCGATCAATATCATTCTGTTATCCTAGACAAGTGTCTATGTTTGTTTGTTGCTGTTGATTGTGTAAAAGTTTATTGTTTAGTACAATCCATTTCAACCGCTATAGCCTTAGCCGATCGATACTCCGGAGCCGTCGTCAGTGATCACGTTAACGCCTGTAAGGAGAACCGGCCAATCACAGCGAGGTTCACGCCTACTTCCGGTCCCGCCCCCTGAGGCAGCTATATAAGATCCGCGCTCCGGCTGTATGATTCATTGTTGAGTGTCGAATAAACTGAGCGATTGAGTCGAGTCTCCTCCCAAGCACAGCCGTTTATTACAGTCACATTTCAAAAAATATTCTCTGCAAAGTATCGCTTTTAGAAAGGCTCTATCATTCCCAACAGATGGACCTGGACATCTTCTAGAGGCTTCACGACTCTTGTCCCGGTATGCAGGAAGAACCGAACATCCACACGAAGAAAAGATATAGGTGAGTGTACGGCCAGGTTGCAGGTTTAGTCGGAAAGTAGTGTTCTTCACTAGGGAGCCCCAGACGATTAAAGACTTGCGGAAAGTGCGCCCAGAAGCCTTATCATTATTTTTTTTTGTTCGGGCTCAGTTCCCCTTCGATTATATTGTGGCATCACAAAGGGGGCGGAAGTGGTGTAGTGGCAAGTGGCACGCTTACCACGCGAGCGGTCCGGGGATCAAATCCTGGGTCGTGAGTCGCCCGGGCCAACCAAGCCTTCCATCCCTCCGGGGTCGGTTAATTGGTACCAGACTTGTCTGGGAGGATAAAAACACTGACTTGTACATCGGCTGGCCCCCGCAAGTCATTGTATAGGCCACGCATTCAAACGCCACTACGAATGTACAAATGGAAGTAGAATGCGTGCCGCATCCCAAAAAGGGATTGATCAACGGCAAATGCTTTATCCTTTATTTTATCCATCACAAAGGTAAGATTGAAGGGAACGAGTGCGAGAACTAGGAGGCGGAGCTAATTCAGAAACCTCATGTTCGAAAGGGCGATCCGTGCACACCCTCAACGCGCTGGAGGGTGTAGTCGGACCGCTCCTCAACAACAACCTCTTTCAACCCACTACGTCCCAAGTTAGCACCGCTTCTAAACATTGCGCTCACGACCGTTGACCATTATTTCAATTTTATTCAAATTATTAGCTGATTACTATAACGGTGGAGATGCAGTTCAGGGGGCTGCACTTATGGTTAGACCTAATCGAAGTGGGGTTGCGGAAAGGCAATTGTATCTAACCAAGAGAAAGGCATTGATATCTTATCAAACACACCATATCCTTCACTGAGATGGTACCCTACGACCTCCACGTCTCACTTGTTACCATTGCTGAGCGAAAATGGCTGCTACTTTGCTGACTCTCACTTTCACCAAATCTTCTTGCGATCGCCATGCAAACCCTCGAAGAAAGGGCTTTTAGGTATCCGATTTTGTACGAAATCCCGGGTTGGTATCCCTATCTAATCACACTCAGAGACTGTGCTCTGGATGTTGATTAGATATGACCGCCCTTCCGCAGCTCCACTTCGATTAGATATTGCCACTTTGATTAGATATTATTGGTAGTAGGATCTCAAGAGCCCAACTCTCTTCCCTGCCACTAAGCACGTCAAAAACGAAAAGTGCTGCACCCGCAATGGGCCTGGCATGCCCTCGACGGGGTGGCTCGCACAGCGCATTGGCAACTCTCCGGGATGCCGAGAGGTGAGCAGAGCTGAGCTGACAAATCCAGATAGGGCATTTGAAAGAAAACTGGTTGAAGTCTGTAGTGAGAAAGATAATACGAGTTAAAAACGAACCTTATCTAAATGTTCTTTGGTATGACCTTTCGAAAGGCATGCATTGATCACACCTTGTAATGAAATGAAGTTTCGGCCAAGGCTGAAAACGACATTACCACTGATAGCAATTCATAAGTTCAAAAACTCGCACACAAACTATTTCTATCAAGTTAAATCGAAATCTGATTAAAACCATCAAAAATAGACTTAAAGGCACATTCCACGATGAGTTCAGTGAACCAAGCACTTTTATGGATATTAAGGGAAAGGGATGTCAGGGCTCAAA